TGCTCCAAATGCCTAATGGGGGAAATTTTTTCCTCTGTAAAAATTTCCCACCAAAGTGAATCGTGTGCCCCCCCAGTGTTGGTTCCCCCTCCGACACACTTATGCGCCACCTTGGGGTTTTTTGCCCCCGAACCGTCGGGTTTCAAATCGGGGGCCCCCCCCCCTTTAAACCCCCAGGGGGGTATACTGGGTATCAATCCCCAAACTCCCCCTTTGCACCTCCAAACCCCAAAAACGCTCCACTTTGACATTGACCTGAACCCCCCAAGGAAAAAAAGCGCACCTTTCCCTTTGCGGGTATAAAATACCCAAAACTCCTCCTGCTCCCCCAAAAACCCCAAAACCCAAACCACAAAAAATGGAAAAAAAGTATATGAAATCATTTTAAACTTTATTAAAATTCTTAAAATCATCCCACTCACATTTATAATATTTGTGTCCTTCTACTGGGATACTACAGATCAAAATCTCTTTGTATAGATAATTTTGTGAATGAAACTGCATTGGATCCCCTATCCAAGATGGCGGTACGCCACTTTCCGGTTATGGCTTGACGTCATCAGCATGCCCTATGCGTTACGTCATGTGACTTCATCAAGGCTCCTTATCACCTGGACACAGTGGTAATGTGATCCGCTGTGTCCGGAATGGTACATAAAGGGGTCATTCAGGAGGAGTTTGTCCGGGCTCCGCGGGTGCAGTACGCTCTGTGAACTGCGCAGGAGCTGCTACATGTGAGCTGAAGTACAGGTACAATTAGCCTGTATCGGAAAGCTTCCCTGTCTGCCATCTATAGGCAATAGACGAATGGGAAGAGGTTAAGAAAAGAATAGCAATTGAAGTCAATAAGGTCAGATGGGGTGGGCAAATTTCTCTGCCTCCACAGGCTGTACAAATAGAATGTCATGTTTAGAGATGAGCGATTTTTTTATCAAAAAATTCGATTCGGCTGATTCGGCGAATTCGTGGAATAAATTTGATTCGAGTCGAATATATTCGCTGCGAATTTAACTTATAAAAAGGGTGTTTCTAGGCTTCAGAGAGCCTTTATATTAGTGCAGAACACTGTACCTTTAATTTAAATGCCCTTGGAGTCTGCTGGGGAAGAGAAAACTAATACTGTCAGTCAGTATGACATGCAGATGAGTGCCGTCGATCTTAGAATCACCGCACACTTCACTCATTTGGGCAGTCACGGGGCCAAAACCAGAGTGTGGAGCCACAGTGTGGCAGTGGAGGCAGAGCAGCAATGGGATGGCCATACAGCGCCCTATGAAAAAATGGAACCACCAGCAGTGTGAGGAGACCTGAAAGTGGCACATGGCAGAGTGTGGCGATGGAGACAGCAGCAATGGGAGGCCGTACAGGGACCCATGACACACTCTGGACCTGGCAGCAGCATGAGGAGGCAGGTACAGGGGCCCATGACAGATTACCGGCCTGGCAGCAGCATGAGGAGTCGGTACGGGGGCCCATGGCAGATTACGGGCCTGGCAGCAGCAATGGGAGGCCCGTAATCTGCCAGCACCCTATGACAAAATGGAACCCACCAGCAGTGTGAGGAGACCTGAAAGTGGCACATGGCAGAGTGTGTCGATGGAGACAGCAGCAATGGGAGGCCGTACAGGGACCCATGACACACTCTGGACCTGGCAGCAGCATGAGGAGGCGGTACAGGGGCCCATGACAGATTACAGGCCTGGCTAGCAGCGATGAGGAGTCGGTACGGGGGCCCATGGCAGATTACGGGCCTGGCAAGCAGCCAATGGGAGGCCCGTAATCTGCCAGCACCCTATGACAAAATGGAACTCCCACCAGCAGTGTGGAGGAGACCTGAAAGGGCACATGGCAGAGTGTGGCGATGGAGACAGCAGCAAATGGGAGGCCGTACAGGGACCCATGACACACTCTGGACCTGGCAGCAGCATGAGGAGGCGGGTACAGGGGCCCATGACAGATTACGGGCCTGGCAGCAGCATGAGGAGTCGGTACGGGGGCCCATGGCAGATTACGGGCCTGGCAGCAGCATTGGAGGCCCGTAAATCTGCCCAGCACCCTATGACAAAATGGAACCCCACCAGCAGTGTGAGGAGACTGAAAGTGGCACATGGCAGAGTGTGGCGATGGAGACAGCAGCAATGGGAGGCCGTACAGGGACCCATGACACACTCTGGACCTGGCAGCAGCAAGAGGAGGCGGTACAGGGGCCCATGGCAGAGTGGCGAAGCGTAAGCAGCTTAAATTGAAGAAGGCCATACAGAGGCCCTATGTTAAAAATAATAACATGTTTGGGGCATGATTCATGGCGGATTTTAGTCAGTTGTGTCAGGAACTGGTGGTTTGAAATACTCCAGACTAATCCACGACTGATTCATTTTCCACAAACGTGAGTCTCTCCACACTTTGGGTGGGACAGTCGTGTCCTCCGCGGAGTTACAATACCTCCTGCCGCACTAAAACACGCGCTCCGATGCCACGCTACTGGCCGGGCATGACAGCCTTTCAAGGGCAAATTCAGCTAGTTGGGGCCAAAGGTCAAGTTTCGTTGCCCAGTAGTCAAGGGGATTGTCTACCTCGGTTGGCAGGGTGCTGTCCAAGTAGGCCCAAGCCTGTTGTTTGAGGTCCTGCTCCAGGTCCACACCTGATGCTGCTGCTGCTGCGGCTGGTTAGTAGTTTCCTCACTGCGCTGGTGAAGAAAGCTACTCATCATCGACTGCAGACTGAGGCAGCCGCTGCTGGTGGAGCTGCCACTGCTCCTACCCACCCCACCCCTCCCCTGCTGCCATGGCAGCGGAACGCGAGCGCACAGGGCCCACAGTGTCTGAGGATGGACGTTGGGCGCAGAAAGGCAGAGACCAACTTGACTACATAGGTGGTTTTTATAGTACGTTATTTTGGCCTCCCTCTCAGCAGGTGTGAAAAAGGCCACCATTTTTGAACGGCGGTAGCGAGGGTCCAACAAGGTGGACAGCCAAAAGTCATCCCTCTGTCTGATGGTTATTATTCGGCTGTCGCTACGCAAGCAACCGAGCATGCTATGGGCCATTTGTGCCAAGGAGGATGCGAGGGACTCCCTGCCTCCATCTCCACAGCATACTGCCACGGTGCGCTCGGGTCCTCTGTCTCCTCCTCCTCCTCTACCAGATGCTCCTGCTCCTCCACTCCTGTCCGCTGAGTGGAAAAAACCACCCATTTCACTCAATAATTCCTGAGCACCAATGTCCTCCTCTACTCCTCCATTTCTTCTGTCCTGTCCTGCCCCCACAGGGGTCATGTGGCGTTGAGATCTGTGCGCCAACGTCTACCGCACCCTGACCAGCCCATTGTTAACAGCATTTGTTCCAGGACGTGCAACAGAGGAATGACGTCGTTCATCCCATAGTACTGCCGACTCACAATAGCGTGGCCTCCTTCAAAGGGCCTGAGCAAGCGGCAGGTGTCACGCATGAGCTGCCAATGGCTGACATCTAAGTTACACAGGGGGAGTACCTTTTATCCGCTTGTAACATCAGGAAATCGGTGATGGCCTTTCGCTGTTCGTAAAGGCAGGTCTAACATATGTAGGGTTGAATTCCACCTTGTTGCAACGTCGCAGATCAGGCGATTGCTGTGGAATTCCGTTCTGCCGCTGCAGCTCAAGGGAGGGTGTGCTTTGCGGTGTAGGAATGGCTGAAATGCATGCAAAGTTTTACGTGACATTTTTACGGATGTCTTGCAGTGGGATGGTTGGATTTTTAGGAACCGCTTGACAACAGATTGAACACGTGAGCCATGCATGGCGCATGGCACAAACCTTTCTTGACTCAGAGCAGACACCATGTTCTTTCCGTTGTCGGTTCAACATGGTTCCGATTTTCAGTTTGCGCGGAGACAGCCATCTGTCGATTTCTCTGTTCATTACACTCAGAAGTTCCTCCCTGTGTGGACTACGTTCGCCAAGGCATACCAGGTGCAGCACAGCGTGACCACCGTTGCGCCTGCACATGTGATATGCCGGTTGGGTAATGGGACTTGGCACGGGGGTGGCGGCTGAGGACACGGCGGAAGAAGAGGTGGTAGAGGCGGACATCTTTGCTGGACCAAGGACGTGCAAACGTGGAGGCAAAAGCGGCGTGACCTGTCCAAGTTGCTTGGTGCGGCTGTGCCGGCACCACGTTCACCCAGTGGGACCGTAAATTGACATGTACTGTCCCTGACCAGTAGTTTACAGCTCCACACGTGCCGTGCACTTTGGCAGAGACCGACATGCTCAAAGACTGGCCCACCATCTCTTCTACATTTGAATGCAGGGCTGGCACTGCCTTTTTGGCGAAGAAATGCCGGCTTGGCACTCTCCACGCGCGGCGCGGGCACAAGCCATCATTTTTTCTCGGAGGAAGGTGCTGAGTCCACCACTTGGAAAGGGAGGGACTGCAAGCACCAGCAACTTGGAACAGGAGGACGTTCAGCTTTTGCACCGTCGGGGTGCGTGCTCGCAATCTGTTGTCTCTTGGAAACGGATTCCAAGAAAGACTGCTGACGGAATCCGTGAAGAGGAGTAGCAGGAGAAGGAGCATCTGAACGAGCGGAAGATGCCAACGAGCGACAACTCCCCTCAGCAGAGGTGTTGGAGCCTTGACTGGCTGATAGAGGGCGATTGACGTCGGGTGACGGAGCAAGTAACGGAGCGGGTGATGGAGCGGGGGCTGGGGCAGGCAGAAACCGCCGTATCTTTATCACGGTTTTCCCAGGCCACCGAAATGGCGACGCTGCATATGCTGACGCAACGCTGTAGTCCCCAACATGGGCCCCCTGGCCACGCTTGACTTTCTGGCCACATAGTCGACATACGGCTACGTTTACTTCCTCGGGCCGGCCGGCTTGACGAAAAAATTGCCACACACCGCCGAGTAGGAAACTTTGCCCCCGCTACTCCTCACTGGCTGACTGCTACTTCCTCCGTGCACAACCGACACCACTACTGGCCGTTAGGGTGGTAGGCTGCAGTGGAGCTGGTGCTCTACTCTGTGGCCGTTTGCCTCCACTGACACTGCTGCGACCCTGCTGCCTTCCTGGGCAACCCACCGACTGTTTTGCTCGCTGCCAAGCTGGCACCCTCTTCTCCTGATGATGCGGAAGCAATAGCCTGATGACGACGAGGCTGCCAAGTGCGATCAGCCTCATCATCATCAATTAGGGTCCCCGCCTCACTACTAGCCCCCATCGGCTGCGTGTGGGTCAGGAGACAGACCTGTCTCTAGACCGGCTACCGAGCCACCCACTCTCCTCGCCACTACTTCTTCGCCTGGCTGCTGAAGAGGCGGTTGTCTCCCCCCGTTCCTGACCGCCCTCTGTTAGCTCTTTCCTCACTGTACAGTGGGGCTGAGCCCACAGCATGCGATACTTCGCTTGGTGAGGGAACACCAAAGGACAGGGGCAGGTAGAGGACACGTGATTTCAGTGGGCTTGCTCCCGGGCCATGCCAACTAACGGTTGTGTCTGACGTACCCACCGACCGTTGGGGGGCTGTAGGTGTCAGAGGTGACCTGGGAAGAGGAAGACGACCGAGCCAACCAATCGATGACGGCAGGGTTGTCGGTGGAGACACGGACCGCTGGATGACACCGGGAGCACTGGCCTCTGGCTGCGACTAGTGCTGCCTCGACCCCTTCCTCTGCTGCCACGTCTGCTCGCTCCTGAAACATTGCCTCCTCTGCCACTCCTCTGCGTGTTGTCTGACATACTCTTTAATTCAACGATTCTGTGTCCCTGAGTAACGATTCTGTGTCCCTCAGTAACAATTCTGTGTCCCTGAGTAACAATTCTGTGTCCCTGAGTAACAATTCTGTGTCCCTGAGTAACGATTCTGTGTCCCTCAGTAACGATTCTGTGTCCCTCAGTAACGATTCTGTGTCCCTGAGTAACAATTCTGTGTCCCTGAGTAACAATTCTGTGTCCCTGAGTAACAATTCTGTGTCCCTGAGTAACGATTCTGTGTCCCTGAGTAACAATTCTGTGTCCCTGAGTAACAATTCTGTGTCCCTGAGTAACGATTCTGTGTCCCTCAGTAACAATTCTCTGTCCCTGAGTAACAATTCTGTGTCCCTGAGTAACAATTCTGTGTCTGTCCCTGAGTAACAATTCTGTGTCCCTGAGTAACAATTCTGTGTCCCTCAGTAACAATTCTGTGTCCCTGAGTAACGATTCTGTGTAGTAACACTTCTGTGTCTGTCCCTGAGTAACGATTCTGTGTCCCTGAGTAACAATTCTGTGTCCCTGAGTAACAATTCTGTGTCCCTGAGTAACGATTCTGTGTCCCTGAGTAACGATTCTGTGTCCCTAAGTAACGATTCTGTGGCCCTAAAGTCTCTGTGGCCCTAACTCTGTCCCTAATACACAGAGGTCTGTCTCTCTTGAATGACCGGAGGCTAATGGAGAATTCTAAGATGGCCGCGATTTATAGCTCCACCATTACACAGTGCTGGCTGGCTGGCTGCTGATTGGCTAATGCGATCACATGTCATGAATGAATGCATTATGGGTCAGCGCGCCTTCCCAGAGATCCCCGCTCCGTCGCCACACATGTCGCCGCCATTTTTGGGAAAATTTGATTCGTGCATCCGAAGTTTGCTAATTTTTGGATTCGGCGCGCGAATCGAATATTTCCTAATCTTCGAAACGAATTCCACTTCGTCATGTTCGATTT